TTGCTTATGCAATGCAAATTTCATTCCAGATTTTATGTTAACGTAGTATTTTCTAAGTTATATGACCTATTGTGATAAAGATCACAATACATTAAAGAGCTTTATTTTACTTGTCTTTGATAAGTGGAAACAGTGCATTTATATCAAATACATCTTTAGCATAGTCAGAAAATGGAGAGAATGGATTTCTAACTAGCTGCATTTCAAACAAAATAGTTAATTGAAATCCATCTATGAAAACTGCCAATGAAAGTATATTTTAAAAAATATATGCAAAATGTACTTTACAAGATTAAAAATATTTAGAAACAGTAATTTTTAGGAACTCTGCCCCCTTATCTTTAAGTGATCTGTCATAAAAGGAATTACAATGAACTACTTACGATTTTATAATACACATGCAAAATATAACAAAGTACAAAGAAAACACACATGCATGCTAAAGTAACATTAAAAAAATAATATAAAACCAAAACAAAATGCTTAAAAAAAGCATGCTATTTAAGAAAAGTCATTTCTTTTTATTTCTCATTATAACACATGATGATAAGAGAAAAAAGAAAAGCATATGTATATGTAGATAAGACTGAAATGAAATATAAGTTACATGAATTATTTCTACATCATGATATATTTAATATTGGTAATGCTGCCAAACCTCCACTAGTAAGTTACATACAGATGCAACCTTCTCTTCGTAAACATTTTCATGGCAATATGTGATCTCACTTTTAAAGTAATACTGAACTATATGACAATCAAAAGACTTTAAAAGACTGATACAATGGAAATTTCATAAAATTTATATAAAGGTGCAAGACATTATTAAATCCATCTTCTCCACCCCCAAAATGTAGTTTTTTAAAGTATCATTCATTGTTAATAAAATAATAGCATTAGTGTCAGTATTACTGCTAATCCATCCATTGTGGAAGTACTGATATGCCGACATAAAACTATGCAAATATTTTATTAAAAATACATTCAGTAAAATATTTGCATGGAAAGAATTTTTGTGTTAGAACTGACCTTTAATACAATAACTCTAATTATGTAATTATCAGCAAGAAGAAAAAATGAATTAAAAATAAATAATACATAAAATTTTATTTGTGACAATGAAAAAGTGGAAAGCAAGAAGCAAAGAATGAACAATACTTTTCCTTGTAATAAATAGGTAACATAAAAATGTGGGCAATTAGCCTTTTTTTTAATGCATACATACTACCTATGAGATCAAATATCAAATTCATAGCTCTAAAATAAGCTAAAACTATAATGCTCTTTTGAAGAATAATGAACATCAACCAAAATGAGCACATATCAAAAAACTAAAGTACAATGAATTCTCCTACATATTATTTAATTTTATACTCCATAAATGCTTCTCACCCCAACCCAAAAAAGACATTTCTCAATCAAAATAGCTGATTGTAATTATAAAATCCTTGAAAACTACTTATTTGGGGAAGAAGCCTTTTGCTAGGTAACTTTTTAGTAATGTTAAATATGCTTTACCACAAGACTGCTGAATATCAAACTTGCTAGTATCTAAAATCAAAGCTGCAATGAAATTATTATTGCTTGTTGACTTCACCCATTAAAATAGAAAGAGGACTATTTTATGAAAATTACATGACAGCTAAGAGAAATGAAAGAAATAGCAGTACCAAATAAAGGCCAACGAATTATCTTTGAGAACACCTTCAAATTACAAACATATTAATATGTGTACTAACATAGCAAGACTTTAAACTGTCTGTTACAAATAATAAAAATGACCGACAGAACGATTAACTAATCAACTTATTAAACTAATCAAGAAAAAATGCATATATAAACGTCACAAAAAGTGGTTTAAAAACTTTATTTTATCAAATTTACTACCTTGTTTAAGTTTCAGAACAGACAAAATGAAATGTAAAGACAAATTAGCAATTTAAAATTCCGTATACACAAATTGTTCTTAAAATCATCAAAGGTTGATAAATCACCAAATTTAGCAATGTACAATTAAAAGCCTTATTCCACGAAGGAAGCATCAAATAAATGCAAAATATAAAACACTTAAAATGTAGGTTTGGTAATTGCCATAATTTTTGTCACCTTTACAAAAATTTTTTTAAATTCTTGGAAAATGGATTCTGTGCCCAATATCGTAAAAATCGGTACTGCGAACATAAAATTCTTAAAATTTTGTAGGCATATTTATGTGGTTTATATGTAGCATACTTTTATGAGAAACTAGGCAACATGAAAGAGGCAGTTCATACAAACGAGTTCTACAGATTCGAGAATTCTGTTTAATGTTTCACATATAACTCATAATGTAAGCAAATCCTTATATTCTATGCAGTTTATAAAGGAGTAATACAAGCTACTCTATTTTCAGTTATTTTGACATTTCAAACATATCTAATGCATTCACTGCAGATAAAAAATCTGATGCAGACACCACGACTTAATTGTAAGGAATATTAAAGTATGTGCATTTCTTGCTGCATTTCATTTATTTCCTCGAATTTCATTAGAGATAGGTTTCTCACTCAATTAATTCAGTTCTCACTTCATGGAAAGGCAAAGATACATAAAACCTAAAATATCTTCATTCAAAATTGAAAAATATAGTAAAACATAAAACACCAAATACCAAAAACAATTAAAAATTAAAGTTTCTAAGCAATAAAAGCAATTTGGCCACCAGACAAGAAGACAGATTTTTCGGTGCACAAAACCGAAAGTTTATTTTTAGTCCCACTCCGCAAAAAGACGCTGAAGGTACAGAAACTGACTTAATTCACTATTCTGCTAAGTTTCAAACGTTAACAAATATGGCTGTTATGGTTAAAAAAAAATGCCGTAATCGCACTTAAACATATTTTAAATTGAGTTTAATCATCTCGCTGAATAACCATCAAAAACAAAGTCCAACATTAAAAATCAGCGTAAATTTTTAAAAATTGTTTAAAAATTTTAAATAGCTTTTGAACTACCTCCTTCAGCTGTTAAGTACCTTACTTTTTTTTAAAAAAATTACACTGATTCTTAATGTTGGATTGTTTTTTGATATTTTAAATTGTTGATAATTCTACAACTACTGCATGCAGATTTAATAAAGGCTTAAAAAATGTAACCAGAAGATAAGAACATAATTCAATCACTTTTAAAGCAAAAAATGCACTATTTACCACCAATAAGAATAAGAAAAAACTGAGCTCACCGAGCCGAGTAACAAAGTGAATATATATATATATATAAGCGCAAATGAACGAGATAGGATATAATGATCAGATAAGATAAGAAAGCCTGGACAGAAAATAAGCTAGTGGCACTCTGTTGATGAAACCAGAACTAAAACATAATTTCTTTAAAGCCGAAGGCAAAGATGGATTGGAATTAGTATCATTAACTAGAACAGAAAGATATTTTTGAATGTGAAATGCCTCTAGAAAATCCAGTTCTCCAATGGAAGATGTTTTTTGAATAATTTTGGCAGCAGAAAATTTGAAAGTGTGATTTTCGGACCAACAATGTTGGGCAACAGAAGACTTTCTGTTTCCTTTTTTCTAACATATGCCTCATGTTTCTTGACGTGAAATTTGAAGCTCTCTTAGTTTGGCAAATGTAAATTAATTTACACTGGCAAGGAATCCTATAAATACCCCAGGAACCTTATAAATATCCGGAATGTGGTCCTTGAATATGGAACTCGGAATTTTATCGATGGGAGAATAAACGACCCAAAAATTAAATTTCCCGGTATGGTTCCGTTACATAGACGATACGTTTACCCTGTTTGAAAGTAATAAAAATTATTTATAAAAAGTTCTTTCAACAATGAATTCTATTGATCCTGCTATTCAGTTCACTTTTGAACTTGAGACTCGCAATTCTCTTCCGTTTCTTGACATTCTGGTCACATGTAGCACATCCAACTTCAGTACTACGGTTTACCGTAAACCTTCATCTGTTTGCCTTCCACCACACTTTAAATCATGTCATCTGACTAATGCTTTATGACTCTAAAAGTTAGCTTTATTTTATTCCCATGTTTTCGACGCTCTTCAAGTTTGCTCCTCCAAACTATCCCTTGATGAAGAAGTAAATTATTTAAAAGCAATAGCTATTGACAAGGGCTTTTCGCCCGACATTATTAATCGAGCAGTTAAAAAAAATTCTCATCTCAACACACTAAAAGGCATACTGTTGTTTTAGGAGATTATAAAATTCTGCTGTCATTCCCTTCTTTCCATCAATTAGCTATAAAGTTGCACATAATTTGCAGAAATTTAACTTTTGGGTTGTTTATTCTCCCATCAATAAAATTCCGAGTTCCATGCTCAAGGACGACATTCTGGATATGAATTCCTGGGATATTTATAGGATTCCTTGCCAGTGTGGTTTAATTTACATTGGCCAAACTAAGAGAGCCTTAAAATTTCGCGTCAAGGAACATGAGGCATATGTTAGAAAAAAGGAAACACAGAAGTCTTCTGTTGCCCAACATTTTTGGTCCGAAAATCACACTTTCAATAAATTATTCAAAAAACATCTCCATTGGAGAACTGGATTTTCTAGAGGCATTTCACATTCAAAAAAATCTTTCTGTTCTAGTTAACGATCCTAATTCCAATCCATCTTCGCCTTCGGCCTTTAAAGAAATTATGTTTTAGTTCTGGTTTCATCAATAGATGGTGCCACTAGCTTATTTTCTGTTCAGATTTTCATATCTTATCTGATCATTATACCCTATCTCATTCATTTGAGCTTTTGCAGCTGAGGATGGTGATTGGGTAAAACTATCAAAACTAGTCCTGTGAAAATTTGAAAATATAATGCAGAATTTTGTTGTTTGACTTCTGAATTACAATTTAAGTTGCAAACACATTTATAAATACTTTCAAATATACCGTTCCTACACATAGCAATAAATAATAAATAAACAGCAAATAAAATTAAAGCAAAATCATAAAATAAAATCCCATCAGAACAATAATTACCATTTCTGTCAAAATACATACTAAAGTCACTGGGCTTTGCTTGAGATAGATCTCTGTAGAATTCAGTCCGATGAGATTTCTTCAGCCCAGTACATAATCCAAAATCTGACAATTTTATATGACCCTAGAGGGGAAATTTACACATATATCATGCAATTTAACACATGACAAACTGAAATTTACACTGATTATTGTGTTTTCATAAGTATTTAAATGTAGCTAATCATTAACTTATATGAAGCAAAATTCAATATAATGTAATACGAGATCTATCACTTTAAAGAATGTGCATTATAGTTCAACTGTAGCAAATGTAACCTTGGCTGGGATTCTGAAAAAATTACTAAGAATCGTCCAGAATTACATACAGCAGGACTCTTTTAGAATTTTACACTAAAATCTTTATGCATTATTATACATATTTGAAGGGGGGCTAAATTATATTGTAGAAATTAATTTATTAAGAACTAATATTAAGAATTTTGTTTTCAGTGAGTATTAACAGTTCAAAGATAAAAGTATAATAATTTATTACCATAAAATTACTATAATCAACTATAATTATTATTATATTAGAATTCATATTAATGACAGTTATACAATCAAATATATTAATGAAATAATTATGAATTAAGATTTGAAAACACTAATATTTTTATCTACATATAATTAAAATAATTCTACTATGGCAGTATTTATTTTTATATTGGTATATTATTAATAGGATGGAGTGAAATGTAGGGTTCTGATTGAAACATCTAGATACTTATTTGGTAGGTGTAATTTACAACCTTTAAATTATGCAATAAAAAGACAATCAATATACAGCGTGTAGCAGAATAGTTTAAAAACTTAGTATGGAAATATGGAAGAAATAATTGCACAGAAACAACAATAAAAGATCAGATACAATCATACAGTTAGTTTCTTCATTAAGAAATATTCAAAATATCATCCTAAAGAATAGCATTACAGAACATGCACATAGTAGTCCCTGGTGTAAAAGCCGTAAGACTAGCTTTTAGATGAAAAGAATTTTCAAATTGACGTTCCTGATGAGATAAATGCAGTAAAAGTTAGGAAATTATGCCCAGAAAACAACTGATTAGTATATTAATCTTGTTATTTCATTTCTTGAATTACTTTTCATAAAAATTTACATAAATTAGAAAAACATCCTCCTTTCTTAGTTTTTTCCTCCTTAATCTTTTTAAAATTTTCTAGCCTTTCATTTTATATGTATTAATTTTAAAATAACTTCTATTTAAAAGGCAAATGAAGCAACGGTACAACTCTGATATACGCCCTAATTTCACCAAATGTTGGGATATGTGTTCTGCGATGGTTTTTGGTGCAATTGCGTGTTCTATTGCAACCCTGTTGACGTTTAAAAATCTTTCACTGGAGCTCATTGATTCGCGTCTGTGTCTGAGAAGATGGGAGGGAAAGATAAAATGGTAGAAGTTGTTGAATTGAAGTTCGGCAAAAGGAAATATCATTGTGGCCATCCTGTTGAGGGGTAATGGGTATTTGGAGGTATGGAAAGAGTGTCTGGGAGATTATTTTTAATGGCTATGCGTGATAGAAGTACGGATTTGTGATTTTATTTATTTGTGAACCATAGTATGAATTTTCTGGATAGTGTGCCTGGCTGTCATGTAAATACGATAGTGATTACGTGGCGGCATGTTAAAGTTGGTATGAAATTGGTATTTTTGCTGTTTGAAAAAGCATTAATTCATGGTAAGTGCATTTTATTTTATTCTTGTTCTTATTTTGTAGAATGTTATGTTCATTGGTTCTTTAGTATGAATTTTTGTCGTTATTGTTGTTTTTTTAATTGTTTTAAATTTAATTTAGTTTATTTTGTTGTTTAGTGTCTAGATTGTGCAATTCGTAGATGTCTTTTAAAGTTGAAACAGAACGCTGTGTACATGGTATTATTTGAAATTTATTGTTATGTTATTTTATTAAAGCGAGGTGTGCGTAGATCGTAGAGTCGTTCCTTGCCTAAATTGTGCAATTTGTAGATGTTTTTTAAGTTTAAACAGGATGCTGTGTACATGGTATTCTTTAAAATTTATTGTTATGTTAATTTATTAAAGCGAGGTGTGCGTAGTTCGTAGATTCGCTCGTTGCCTAAACTGTGCAATTCGTAGATGTTTTTTTAAGTTTAAACACGATGCTGTGCACATAGTATTCTTTGAAATTTATTGTTGTTATGTTAATTTATTAAAGCGAGCTATACGTAATTCATAGATTTGTTCGTTGCCTACATTGTGCCATTCGTAGTTTTTTTTTTTTTTTAAGTTAAAACATGTCGCTGTGTACATGGATTCTTGTCAAATATTTTTGGTTAGAAACTTTACGTTTTTGCTATCTAAATTTTTTGTTTTTGTTTTGGATTTTTAGCTTAAATTGTGTGTTCAAAACGTAATTTTCGCTTCTGCGAAAACCGTGTTTTTGGAGACATTTTAGGCTTAAAGTTCGAAATGTAGACAAAAAATTTAGATAGTAATATGGCAGCGTGAAGTTTCTCGCCAAAAATATTTGGCGACTTGAGGGCTATTATCAGAGTAGTTTCGAAGCAGCAATTGTTTCTTGTTAAACACAACATTTAAAAAGTTTGTGATTTTAATTTAATTAGATCTGAGGTAATACTTTTAAATCAATAGCTTCCCTCTTTGCCTCTATTTTTCCATTTATTTTTAAATGAAAAAAACTAACCTTAGCATCTAAGAGTAAATTATCAGGTTTAATATCTCTGTGAATGAAACCAAGTTTGTGAATGGAATCGATTGCCAATGCAGTTTCAGCTATGTAGAATTGTGTGCAGTCTTCAGACAGAGTGTCCTTTTTCATAAGTAAGGTCATCATATCTCCTAAAATAAATGAAAACACTATTTTAGCAACTATTAAACATACGGCAAAAATTTAAGAACAAGATTGAAATTCAATTTTTCAAAATTTTAAAACACTTTCAAGAAAAGCTTTCATCTGCATTTTTTATAAGATGGGCACATTTCTTTTCTTTCTTTTTATTTATTACTTATTTTTTAAAACTTTTTTTTTATTTGACAAGAATGATTTTACATTAAAAAAAAATTCAACTGATAGAGGGGAAAAAATATATTTTCCTTAACTTTCATGAAAGAAGTTTACATTTCACCTAATTTCCCTAACTATTTTACATTTCTCTCATGGAAGTTGACAGAGAACCCTCTAAAAAAGATGCCTCAAAATTAATTTTAAGGCAGAATATGAGATCTGTCTAAAAAATATCAATACCTGAATTTTTCTGCACACAGTAGTGAAGCTACGATATCAGTAGTTACACTGCACTTAGTGCAAGGATACAAGCCTGAATTCTTTCTCCACATTCTGAATGTGCTCTTTGATACGCTGGGTAAGGTGCTGTTTTACAAGTCGTTGAATTTATTTCTCTCAAAATGACTGAATGAGTTGAAGATATTTTGTCAAAAGCTTGGCAGTTCTCAAAGTAAAACAAACTGTATGATTTAGCAAGTGTTTGAATATGGCACTATAGGAGTAACATAAGTTAAAGAGCAGTTCAACCAATTCAAAAATGGCCATACATCAGTGGAGAGTGAGTAGCGTTCTAGTAGGCAACTAACTGCTCAAAATGTAGCTGTAAAATGCAGAGTGGAAAATCTAGTAAAGGGAGATCTCGTTTGACCATATGAGAGATAGTCAAAGAGGTTGGGATCAGTAAAAATTCTGCACCTGGAATTTTGCACACTGATTTCAACATGCGTAAAGTGACTGTAAAATTTGTGTAGCTGCTGTTGGCGGTAGAGAAAAAAACTCCGTCTTGAAGTTGAACAGAACCTGCAAAACATTACCAGCACTGATTCTGAGTTTCTCAACTGGAGAATAAGTTATACGTGTATGGGAATGACCTGGAAAACAAAAGCACAGTCACTACAATGAAAGTATCTTAAGTTCCCAAGGCCAACAAAAGGCGACAGTTGCGAAGCAAAACCAAGGTGATGATGCTAAATGTGTCCTTTGATATCAGTAGAATTGCACATCACAAATATGCAATGGGAGGACAAACAATGACAAAAGAGTGTTATCAATAAGTTCTCTGCCAAATCTATGATGCAGATTGGCACAAAAACAGACCTCTGACAGCAAAATACTCACAGCTGCATCATGACAATACTTCCGCATATTTCATCGCACTTGGTTAAGACTTTCTTAGCGAAACATGGAATTCCAGTCATTCACTAACCTCTTTACAACTTCTGATTGTTTTTAAAATTAAAGATGACACTGAAAGAATCCTGTTTTGAAAGCAGAGAAGCTATAATGCAGAATGCAATGGCAAAGAAGTAGAACATTCCAAAAGAAGCTTTTAGAAGCTTTTAGAAGTGTTTCCAGCAGTGGAAGGATCAATGGGCTAAGTGTGTGGAGTATAGGTAATATATTTTCCCGGCCAAAGGTTGGATACTTTTTAGACAGCCCTCATGTACATATGTGTGTGTGTGTATATATATATAGATATACACACATACATTTATATATATAGAGAGAGATAATTTAATTAAATTATATTAATGTATAAAATAACTTATTTATATATGATAACATACATAAGACAACATACATAAAAAAACATACCACCAGGTAAAAATTCCATTATAAGGTACAGATTCATTGCATCTTGAAAGCTATAATACATTTTTACTACCCACTGGTGATCTGCTTCCACAAGCACATCTCTTTCTGCTCGAACGTGAGCCACCTACAAATTTGGTATAAACATATGGCATAAAAAATTTCTCAATGTGAAAATAAAACTTTATACCTAAACAAATATTTCTAAAATAAAATTTATGAATCACTATTCCCAATTTAAGTCACCTGTTCTTTTTCCAGCATGTCTGCCTTACGAAGAATTTTCATTGCATAGACGTGACCAGTATCCTTTTTCTGGACCAACCTGACCTCTCCGAATGCACCGCGACCGATGACTTTGAGAGGCTCAAAATCTTCCACTCCCAGTCTTGAGCGCTTCAACCGCAAAAATTCTGTTTCTTTGAGAGCATGCTGATTGCGTTTCTCTTGTTTCTGAAGGAAATTTGAAGTTGGAAATTTTTTAGAATATCAAAGTAATAAAAAGAAATCTATACAGATAAAGAAGAATATATCTGTGTCTGTAATCATACAAATTTGCATTTCTATTCCAATCTTGATGAAATTTGGTACTCTTGATCTTGAAATTAAAAGGATAGCATTCTCTGCATAAAATTTTTTGCAAAAACCACTCCATGGGGTCCACATGCTTTATGTATATACATTTTGTGCAAATTTAAGGAATTTTTGACAGAATGAAAACTTTGTATTGCCACTAAAGTACAAGATATTTATTTTTCAAATTTAAACAGAAAACTCGGCAATACAAAAGAAGCTTATTGCCACCTGGGAAAAAGTTAAGTACCTTAAATATATATTTATCTTAAAGACAAATATATCTTAATAAACAAACTCATGAATTTAAGAAAAATGTGTTGTCATTGTCTAAATTAAATTATTTTTATCTTCCACGCACCTGGTGCATTATCGGTCAGAAGATAAGATACGAGGCGTATTTGGAAACTAAGTATCGTTTTGAAAAAAAAAAAAAAAAATAGTAAAACAATTTTTTTGAATCCACTTTTATTTTTACATGAAAATACATGTCTTAAACTATTTTTCAACATAGTTTCCGCCAATGATCAAACACTTGTCATAGCGGGTGACCAGTTTTTGTATACCATCATCAAAGAAACTTCCCACCACCAATTTCGATAACCACGACTCCACAGCATTTTTCGTTTCATTGTCAGAACCAAAGCGCTTGCCACCAAACTCGCACTTCATGTGCAGGGAACAAGTGATAGTCGGACAGCACCAAGTCCGGGCTGTACGACAGGTGATCGAACTGCTCCCAATGAAACTGTCGAATTAATGATTGAGAGACACCAGCAGTACGGGGCCGAGCATTGTCATGGAGCAACACAATTCCTTTACTGAGCATTTCTCTTCGTTTGTTTTGAATGCCATGCCTTAGTTTTGTTAAAGTCTCACAATATTGTGCCGCATTAATGATTTCACCTCTGGGAAGAAATTCAGTAAGCAAAACGCCTTTCCTATCCCAGAAGACAGTGCACATGATTTTTTGTGACGACATTGTCACTTTGAACTTTTGTTTTTTCGGAGAACGAGTGTGTCTCCACTCCATCGATTGTTGTTTCAATTCTGGTGTGAAATGACACACCCAAGTTTCATCACCTGTCACAATTTAGTTTAAAAAGTTTTCTCCCTCATCATTGTACCGCGTGAGAAATGTCAGGGCACTACCAAGTCGCTTTGTTTTGTGAACATCAGTGAGCATTTTTGGAACCCATCCGGAACACAGTTTTCAATAATTCAAGCAGTCAGACACAATTTCGAACAAAACAGTACATGAAATTTGTGGAAATGCCTCTGAAAGAGTTGTCATTGTGAAGCGTCTGTTCTCATGAATTGCTTCATCAACTTTCCTTACCAAATCATCAGTGACAACAGAAGCCTCGGTGTGGACATTTGTTCTACCTGCATTAAACATTCTTACCCACTTTCTCACCATTCCATCACTTATCGCGTATTCACCGTAAACTTCTGTCACTTGACGATAAATTTCGGCCGGTTTAACATTCCTCGCGTTCAAAAATTTAATCACGGCTCGAATCTCACAGTCAGCGGGAGAACTAATTGTCTTAAACATTTGAATGTGCACAGCAAACTGAAAACACAACATAGAGCAACCAAAATGGCGACAATTGAAAGTCAGTGAACAAGAAAGACTAGTGCGCATGCGCAGGACGCCTACCACAGTGCTGCGACGGCACTAGAATGAAACGGTACTTAGTTTCCAAATAAGCTACGTACTTACCTTTTCTTTAAAATTTATTCTTTTATTAATTGACAAACTAAGTGATTTATAAGCAGTATGATAAAATTTTGCACACATGTCAACACTTAGGGTGTTTATATTAGAACACTGCACTCATGTTACCTATCTTAGGTTCAAGTGGCCACTGCTGCATTCCAACTATCAGTTCTTATTAAAACTGTTAGATGATGCATGTTCATTTACTCTTTAGAATAGCATACAACTTTTAAAGCAGAATTTAAGTGCACTCTCTATCAGATTTTGCAAATACTTTGAAAATCGTCAAGAAATCAGTCAAAGTAGATAACGATTTTCTTGATTTCTCATACGATAAAAGCTCATTTCGAAAAAACATAACAGATAAGAAAGCAAATACAGTCAAAAGTCGTTAATTCGGACACCCATAATCCAGAATTATCTATAATCCGGACCTCAAAGCTAAAATCTATTTGCGCACGCGCCGAGTTGACGCATGCGCATAGGCGTTTACGCGTGCGCCTTTACGACTGCGCATATGTGTCTGCGTGCGCGTTTAATGTAGAAGGGACGGTATAAGCTAAAATTATCTAATTATCTATTTCAGTTAATATTGATGATTGCGTTGTTCCTTAATCTTCGATTTGGATTCGGCTTATTATTTTTTGCAGACTCTTAGAGCAATTTTATAAAAGTAAGCTTGAACTTTCGATTATGTCAAATAGAATTTCCGATGCTGGAGCTCCCAAGGATCTAGAAAACGAAAGTATGTTTTGATGTCCATCAAACAAAAAGGGAATTGCTACAAAAAATGGATAAGGCCTATCCTTTGTTATCTAACGTTCCGAAATCTGTTTATCAATTTTACGCTGCTCTGGGCGGGGGGGGGGGGGGGGGGCAATGAACTGGAAGTTGATCTGTCAGCGCTATCGTTATCTTCAGGGCAGATGTTTTTTTTTATTTCGGCTTATAATTCCTTACTAAATGTAGTATTTCATCTCGATGTACTCCGTCTTTGATATGATTTAAATCAAATTCCTCGTCATTATAAATATCACGAATACAAATCAAATAGTTTTCTGGTCGCAATTTTCTAATTTCGGCTATGCGTAATGTATGCTTACGCATGCGCGTGTTTAAAAGAATGTTTATAAAGTAAGCAAATAATATTAAGCTTCTTTTTTGTAAATTTTGATACCCTTTAGATCATAATTGCTCATTATTTTATAAATTACGGTTTCATATTTTTAATTTTATAATTTCTGCATGCCATCTTACCAGATTTAAACTGATGATCTGTAATCCGGAATCGCCGAAGTCCCGACGAGTCCGGATTAAAGACTTTTGACTGTACTAGCTCTTATTTAAACTGTTACATGGTGCTGCATTAGTTCCACACTGTTCTACAGTTTTATTCGATCTTGCTGAAATTTTTCACGATTCCCCTTGAATCAAATTACGAAGGAAATCAGTCTACATGAGATTTTTAAAAAACTACCCTCCAAATAAAAACCTCTTCACTCTGCATAAAGGCAGACAATGCTGGGCACTTCAGCTAATAATAAATGAAAAGCAATATCAAAATATGATAAATATATACAGGTATGATTCAATGTATATCAAGATTGAGCTCTTCATGTTTCTACCATAATGAGAAGCATAATTATAGGTATATAAAACTTATGCTTTAAAATATCCTGTGATTAGAATAAAAATTACTGAAAGTATTTCATTTTGTGACAGAAAATTGGTACTTTTCGGTTATCATGGTTCAGATTTTCTCGGACATTAATAACACCAACAATTTTTTCAGCAATAAAACATTATCTGTTGTTGCATTAAACATTCTTTCTAACAATAAACCGAAGTTGAGAAATATGTTTGTAGCACCACAGATGCTATTAGTCTCTTTTCGTGTATTACTTTTTGTGCCAAATCACTTTCAAACAAAAGGTCACTGTTATCACTATGTAATTAATATTAAAGAAATAATATAGCAAATATTACAAAATATATCACAGCACTTAAAACTACCAGGAATTATACAGATACACTGTTTTTAATTATTTTGCTGTTGAATTTTATGTGGTGTAAGCAAAGAAAAAAGGATGTTTAATAAATAAAGACAAAAATAATATATTGCTAAAAACAAACTGTATAACTCATCTTACTAAGAAAACTGAACATTGATATTATAAATTAAGACAGAAAAATTAAAGTGCAATACTTAACATTGTATCAGGGATTCCAGTTATAAGCTGATTTAAAATTTTTTTGTTATTTCACTATTGAATTTTATGTGGCGTAAGTGCAAAGAAAGATCAGTTTAATAAGAAAGTTTAAAAAAAAAAAAAAGCTACCTTAATAGGAATGAGGCTACGAGCAGATCGGTAAACTGTCAGAGCATAAAACACCTTAACAAACTCTAATGTAGTGTTTCAATCTGAATTCCATCAAATTTTATTTCTCTCCCCATCCTCCTGCTAGGCTGCAAACATACACAAATAGCATGTATCTCTGATGATGATTTTAAGGATAAGTCATCACCTCATATTCCATACATAATAAACTGTGACACGACTCAGGAAGTATAAGGGGTCGCATTTCCTTTGTTAATCCTTTTGCTCCATTAGTACACATATGCATTACTAAGATTTAAACACATGAAAGTTTTAATACTTTGGAAAAATTAAAATACTTTCCTGAATTTTTGGCTTTCAATTTAACAACACACTGTACAAAGAGACGAAATTTTGAGATTAGAATTAACATGTTAGAATGTTAGACCTGTATATCAATTTTCATATGCATTCTTTTTTTTTTTTTTTTTTTTTGTATCCCCAATTTTTATTGGCAAATTGTGATATTTTTGTCAAACTCAATTTTAAAATATGGGATTTTATGAGAATCCTGAATTTTTGGCTTTCAATTTAACAGCACACTGTACAAAAAAGCAAAATTTTGAGATAAGAATTAACATGTTAGAATGTTAGACCTGTACATCAAGTAACTGTTTTAGCAATGAGCATAAATATTATAGTTTATTTTGTTGTGTCTTATCTGAAATGAGTCTGTGAGCATTGCCAGACATCAGATATTATTATTTGTTGGTAATTCATTGGCTGTTTTGAATTATTTGTGGTACTTACGAATTAATGCAACCACCTTGGTGCAATTT